TGATAAAATAGCAAGAGTTTCCAAGGAGAGATTAAAGAGACAGGAAAGGAAAGAGGGGAGAGTCTGTAGACAATCTGTGCCAGTCCTGACTAGGTTGTGAGACCTGTTTAGATGCAGAGGCTGTGCATTGCAAAGCTGACAGACTGTTCTGTTTTCTAGAGTACTGGAGGACTATAGAGTGAAATTCCATCTTCCTCTGCCTCACTCCACCCTGAATCTGATGGATGCTTAGGGAAGAGCTACTCAGCTGCCTTGCAGGCACCTACATTGGTCTGAGGACTAGGCTCCATTGCTCTGGAAATCCAGCTCTCAATGGAGATTTCCAGAGTGTACATTTCAAATGGAGTGAAACAAATCTAAGATTTAGGGAATCACAGAATAACAGAATGGTTTGGGTTGGAAGGGACCTTACAGATCATCTCTTTCCAACTCCCTCCTGTAGGCAGGGACACCTTCCACTAGACCAGCTTTCTCCAAGCCACATCCAACCTGGCCTTTAATACTTCCAGGGATGGGGCAGCCACAGCTTCTCTGGGCAACCTGTGCCAGGGCCTCACCACCCTCACAGGAGAGAATTTCTTCCTAATATCCAATCAAAACCTACTGTCTTTCAGTTTGAGTTCACTCTCCCTTCTCCTATCACTCAAGTTCCTGATTTGCAAAACCACTTATCAAAGCACTAAGACAATCTACTGCTGATCTACAGCCTAGGGTGAGGGTGGGAATTTATTCCCTCTTCATCCTTTCCTTGACGTCTTGGGAAATGCCCCATGGGAGGCATTTCAAACTCCCACTGTGACTATGTGGGCACTAGTCCATTCCCATTGACTGAAAAGGTCATTTTTACTTTCTCATCGGATCTTCACCCTTCAGAGTGGCTGTCCTTGAGCCTGGGATATCTTGTGAGTAATGACCAAAAACGATTTCATCATCAGACTTCCACATCTTCTAAGGCTGTAATGAAACAAAAGAAGGGAATGTAAATTAGTGATATCCTGCTGGGTAAGTAGTTAACAAGATGGAAGCATGTGGCCTGACCCTGTGGGATGCGGGTGGTCCATCCATCCCTTTGTGCTTCTCTGGTGAGCAAATCTGAAATTCCCACAGGTGAACAGGCACAGGTCAAGAACAGAGGCTGCAAGGTTTCTTCAGCCAACTTCTGTTTTGAATATTATGCTTTCACTTGTGAACCCTGAGGAATTCAGATCTCAAGGCAGAGGAAATGTTGGAAGAGGTCAAGCGAGCTGTGCTCTCTTCGTGTCACTTGGAGCAGCAAACAGCCTGCATTCCATGGCAACATCTGATTTTCTGCTTTTACAAGGCAGATGTTTAGGAGAAGTGATCTGCTGTTTATTTTAATTGCCATCTTCCAAACCTCTTTCCTACGTGCGCGCACACATTCGGAGACCATAAATAAGGATTCTTCAGATTATGCCGCTATTTGGGTAGCTGGCCCTGTCTTCCATCAGTGCCTGGACAGGGCTGTGTGCTGCAAACCCTGTTCCCCCTGCACATCAGTTTTACTGTAGCATAAATTAATTAGGTCTAAATCCTTTCTCAATGACACGAGCATAAATCTGAAATTGCTCTGCTGACGTCAGCTGGTGGCAGTGTAAAGGAGAGTTAGACTCCTTGACTTCAGAATGTTGCTGATTTACACCAGGACAAGAGCAAAAGAACTTGGGCTCAGCATGTTCTAGCACTGTGTTACTGAACAGCAGGCCAGAATTTGCTCTGGGGTACAGTGATGACAACAGAGATCAGTTCCATGGATTTTGCTGGCATTAAACTGATGAAAATGAGTCGTAACTTCGCCACAGTTTGGGCCTCAAAGAGCTCCATGTAGTAGGTCATTAATGAAAAGAAAGGATAAAACAATGCTCCTGTGTAAAGTGATTAGTCCCACTGTCTGACACCATTCCAGGAGTGTCATACAGGGATGAATCCAACCATTTGGCTTGTGTTGTGATGATGGAGAGCAAGGCAGCAGTACCCTCACATCTTGATGAAAACCAGGCAGAAGTTCATGGAGGAACTGCTGGTCCCAGCTGAAGGCAGAGGGGCATGTGTGTGGAGGAACTGCCCTTGCAACTGGTGCCAAGAGCTGGTCTGTAAGGGTGGGAATGCTGGCTGCACTTTTCTCCTCCAAGAGGACACAAAGTGTTGTAGACACTCTGTGCTGGCAGCATTCAGGGTGTTAATCCTTATTCACTTATTTCTCTAGATTTTCCTACACTTTGTTTCTAATGGTTAGAAGTGAGAGTCTATAAAAGAGATGCCAGTCCCTCTCTCTACAGTGGCTTCACCTTTCAGACTGTGGGTTTAAGCAGAAGGAGACACAAACTAGATATTTCTTCTTGAAGCTGTAGGGCTTCCCAAACAACCTTACTGCTTAAAGAGACTTTGGCAAAGAGCGCCTGGATTTCTGGTGGCTGCTCTATAGAAGTTAGAGAGCCCAGTTGTCACCTCAAAGTCCACCAGCCTTGCTCCACGAATGCCACTGGAGACAAGCTGATTTACACCCCTCTTCTGTTGGCATCTGGCCAATCTCTTAATTGTTCATAAGTGACTTTTTTAATAGCACATATTTGCTCTCAGTGGCTTTGTTTGCCCACAGTGAAGTGCAGTCATGTGTGGTGTAGCTGCTTTAAAGCAGCAGATTGAAACAAGGTCTGTGTGAACCACCAGGTAACCTGGGGCTGCCACAGAGCAGGACATGGGTTTCAGGAGCCCAGCCTGATTCTGTGACCCCATTGACAGGATCTCCCTGTCCCACACTCAGAAGGTGGCCCCATGGAGATGGAGTGAAAGCTAACAGAGCACAGCTCCAGTTTTACCACCCATTTTGTTCTCACTAGAGGTGGACAACTTGACTGATGCCTTCGCTGGTAGGGAGTGATGGAGTTTGCCAGAAGTGAAACAAAACTGTGATTATTGTCATGGAAACCAGAGCCTGAATGTGAAGCTCATCCAATGGGGCAACAGGAAAAGGACATTGGACTTCGTCTCCTATCAAACTGTGTGTGCCTTGGATTTGGAACACCAGACAGTCACTATTATAATAACCTTGTCATGAGATATCAAGAAGCATTGGCTTCCTTTGTATTCCTGGGAAGAACTAAACCAGGTTCTTGGGGACTGGCCTGTGAAGGATGGGGTTTCTTAGCAGCACCACTCTAAAGAGCAAAACTCTTTCCAGTTATGACAGGCAGCAATTAAACCACAGTGGCTGAAGGATGCAGAGTTGGAAACATAATCTTGCTGTGCTTTGTGGCTCTACTTCCTGAATGCAAACATGTAATTATTTTAGAGTATTCCCTCTTCCTTCTCATTCGAACTTTACAAGTGGCTTTGCCCTGGGAGCTCATGGCATGGTTCTTGTTTTCTTGCAAGCTTACAAGCTCCATCTGTAGGACTGTTGAAGAAGAGCTCTCTGGCTTCAAGCTGATGAAAAAGGGCAGAGAAGCTTCACTCTGAGTTTCCAGATTTGTTCTGGAAAAACTCCAGCATGCTTAGCATACCACACTGCAGAAAGACACTTGATTTCATCATCTGTCCTTCATATTTGGGGAGAGTTTCCACCCTGGTTAAACTGCTGGTCCTTGGTCCTGTGCTGCATGAATGTGGGGCTGAGGCTGTTGCCTCTGGAATGGTAGAGCTGGTATTATTTCACAAAGGAAAACTCAGCAATATTCTAAATAGATCATGAGCTGAAAGGTTTTTGGGTAACAGTTGTCATAAAGAATTGTAGTGACAGGACAAGGTGGAATGGCTTCAGGCTGTAAGAGAGTAGGGTTAGACTGGATATTAGGAAGAAATTCTTTACTGTGAGGGTGTTGAGGCACTGACAGAGGTTTCCCAGAGAAGCTGTGGCTGCCCCTTCCCTGAAAGTGTTCAAGGCCAGGTTGGATAGGGTTTGGAGCAATTTGGTCTAGTGGGAGGCATCCCTGCCCATAGTAGGGGTTGGAATGAGATGATCTTAAAACATTCCATGTTTCTGTGATGGAGTTGTGATCCCTTTAGGTTCTGATAGCCCACAGTGCCCCACGTAGAAAACTAAACAGCAGTGATTGACATGTTCAAATCATCTAAATCCAGTTGATTTAGCAAATCAGTTCTCCTCAACCTGGTATTCAACATTTGTCAGCCCCAGCCCACACTTCCCTGCACAGGCTGCACCTGCAGAGCTAATTGCAGTCCATGGGGGCTGTTTTTAGGAGGAGAAAACACAAAAGGTGAAAGACTTTCTTCCTTTTGTGCAGAGTACAATCCTTGCCAGTAAGGTGAGGTACAGACTGGGGTTGTGAATGTTTGGAAAAGGATGGATGGATGGAAGGAAGGAAGGAAGGAAGGAAGGATATACTTTGCAAGGCAGATGGAGTGTGAGTAGTCCTTTTAAAGAGATGCTGGCAACTAACACTGTTGTGAATTATCTCTGTCATGTTGGAACTTCATCTTCTATTTGCACAAGAAATATAACTTCATTTTAGATACCAAGAATTTTTCTGAGAGAGGCATTGTGTTCCCAAAGAACAGATATGTTTTTTTCCTTTGTGCAGATCCATTCTGGCTTTAAACCTGCTTTCTTCTCACATGCACAGATGATAATCTTTTACACGTACTTATTAAAAAATATGACTTTCAAAAATTAAAAACACAGGCATATTCTGTACTTGTTCCTTTCTTTACCTCATGATTAATTTCCCATTTTCCCATCTGACAAGTCTGTCATTTGAATATCTCCACAATCAAGAAAAAGCCCATTTTTTTCCCCTTTTGTAGATTCACTGATATATTAAAAGCAGAAAGAAATGTGTTCTCATCTCCTGGGCAGCTGACCTGTTTGTAGAGATGTATCTATTTATCTTTAGTGTGAGGGCGATGAGGCCCTGACACAGGTTGCCCAGAGAAGCTGTGGCTGCCTTATCCATGAAAGTGTTTAAACCCCAATCTCTTCTGTGCTAAACTAATGTTTTTTTTCTTTCTTCTCTATCCCACAGAGATCCCTGAGTGTCCAGGAATGGTCAAGAGTTGAATGGACCAACCTCTCTTCCTCACCATCCTGAGCTCATGAGGGCTCTGAAGAGATTGAGTGGGAGCACAGTCTTGCTTCCCTGAGCCTGGGGATGCTGTGGGAAGTGATTGCCTTGGCAAATGTCTTCATCCTAACCCATAGCCCATCGTGCATCACCTGAAGAAGAAGCTGGTGAAAGATAACCAGGGGACCAGGAAAGGCTCTGCTAGCCTTGGAGGACACCACCGGGGGATTGGCACTATGAGAGGCACTTTGCAGGAGTCACTGCTTGTGGAACCAGCTCTGGAAAGAGGCTACAGGAGCCCTGTGAACTGAAGGAGAGGGATGTCTAAATCATGATAAAAGGTAGAGAGGTTTCCTGGGCACAGCAACCTTGGAAAGCACTTTCAAAAGGGGAGTACCAGGACCACGTGGTCATCTCCAGTGTCTGATTTGGAAGAGGCACAGCAAGGTCACTGCCTCATGGTCAGGTCAGGAGACCAGCAGGATGCCTGTTCGTGTGCTGGTTGGGGATCCAGATGAAACAGGAGTCTGTCCAAGACCAAGAGAGAAGAAGTGTGGAAGACTGCTTTGACTTACTCTGTGCTTGTTTCTCCTTCTGGTGTCTTCTCTGTCTACTTCTTCTTCTCTGTAGGTCCATATACATCATGTGGGGCCCAGACTCTCACAAACAAGCAGAAAGATTGGCACAGGGTAAATCCTGCCCAGTGCAGATGCAATGTGGCCTTTGTTTGCTCCTTGTGCCAACAAATGTGCAACTGTCATGCCTGGACTTCAGACAGGAGAAAGGCTGGAACCTGACAGTCGTTTCACTTGCAAGCAGTCACATTCTAGCACGACCAGCCACCCTTGGGAGCCAAGTTGTAACACCTGAGCCTCAAAACATCATAGAGCATCTGTCCCTCTCCTGCAGCTGTGGGAAGGAGCATATGGACAGGCTGCATGCTCAGCTCCTGCTTCTTGGATTGGGAAAAACTCATTAAGCAGTGAAAGAGACAGATGTGGAGGGAGTGACGGATCTCAGGCAGAAAACAGTAGGAAAAACTGACTAAAAACCATAGGAAAATGTGCACCTTTGACTTGCAGGTGGTGCCCCAGCTGTGGACTGTCATGCCCAGCTGGGCAGCTGCAGATGTCTGGTCACTGAGCTGCTCCCAGAGGCCTGGGCAAAACACGCTGGTACCAAACTGTGCCGGGAGCCCCATCTCAGACCTTCTCTCCTGGGCTTCCAGCTGCAAACCTCTTCCCTCATGTGCAATTGTATTTATTTATTTATTTTCTTGCTGCTTGATGTGAAGCTGCTAAATGAGCCACCTCCCCACAAACACCCTCAGCCAAGAGAGGATGGAGGGAGGGGGCGTGTGGTGTGTCTGTGCAAGGGGACTGGGCAGAGGGGCAGGAGAGAGGGACACCTTCCAGGAGTAACCTTCTAGTGGAAGCTGTCCTTGTCCATGGTGGAGAGGTTGGACTAGATGATCTTTAAGGTCCCTTCAAACCCAAACCATTCTGTGATTCTATGATAAGCCTTGAACGAGATGCCTCATCCCCTGGAGGTGTTCAAGGCCAGGTTGGATGGAGCTCTGAACAACCTGGTGTAGCAGAAGGTGTCCATTCTATGATTCTATGATGTGGACATGCCTACAGAGGGAGCATACAAGGCAGGAGGAAAAGGCTGCAGTGAAACCCCAGTCTCCCTAGGGTGAGGGTGCAATTTTACTCTGTCAAGAACTAAGGACAAGCTGGGTAGAGCTTCGTTGGGAAGGACAGCAGGACAGCTGCAGCCTGCACAAGCTTGGGAATGTCCCTGTAGCCAAATGTCCTCCATGAATCTGTGCTTGTGCAGGACATTGTGCGAGTTGCTCACCCAGGCTGTGCCCTCCCAGCACTCCCTGAAGCAAACTTACAGTTTCTACACTTGCGGGGGGACATATCCCCAGCCAGGCAAGTTCCCACCAGTGTGTTCACTGAGGTTATTAAACCAGGTATTAACCTGGCAGCTTTTTCTGCTCTAGACATCCATCACAGACCCATTTGACACAGCCAGTTTGAGACCAGCCTCTCAAGGCAGGGCTGTAGCTGTGCTGTAGTGGTTCATGCTCAGCCTTGGCTGTTCCTACCCTTCTACCCCTTTTGCCTAAAAACTGGCACACTAGCAGCATCCACTCATGGTCAGATATCCCATTTTATGGAAAGTCTGTCTGTCCCACTGCAGAGGGGAAAAATTTCTCTGGGAGAGGGCGGTTGTCCAGTGCCCTGCTACTCTCCCACAGCTCCCACGCTCAGGAGGGACCAGGCTACACTGACATCCCTTGGTGCATCTCCCAGCTGCTCCAGGAAAGCCTGGCTTCTCCCATACCCTTCCCTCTGAGACGCCCCAGCAAGGCTTTGTCCAAACCTGTGTGGCTGCTGACTGGAAATATTTCCCAACAAAACCTGTTCCTCCTAAGATTCTTGGCTGGTTCTAGTCACTTATTATGTACTGGAAACACTATCCGTGGGATTAGTTTTCAGGTTAGAGACATGCATGTAGTTCTTTTTCTCACAAATCCCCTGATGTGCAAGAGCAGGTTGCAGCAAGTGGAATGGATGCACTTGCTCTGATCATTTGCCAGCATGGCCCAAAAGCAGTGACCTGCTCATTGCTGATCACTGCCTTGCAGAGCTGTACGAGTTGGAGACAGAAGAGGTGTATTACAAATCCATCTGCCTCTGACCCTTCAGGCTTGTTCCATATATTACTTACCGGTGGTGTGCTGGGTCTATTTTTAAATGCCCTGACACCAGGGTTATTGTGCTGTCCTTTGGGAGACTGCTCTGTGCTCCAAGTGAGGAGCTGCTGTTAGTTTTCCACCTGCATTTTCTCTTGAAAACTTCATTCCATTATTCCTAGTGATGCTCTTCAAATACCTGCTGTTCATTTTGTTCTGCCACTTGACCTGCACTCTTCTTTCCCTTCCAAGAACATCTCTGGCTCCCTGATCACTGCTGCTCCCTGTCCTTCCCATGGCTCGGCACATGATGAGCCTGTTCATTAATTCAGCCATGCTGAGTTTGTCAGGGATATGTACCCACCACTGGAGCAGCTGGAAGTTCTGGCAACACCCAGTCTCCCAAGCAGCTGTGGTGCTTCTCTCTCCCTCATTGAGAAGCTTGTGGGGTGCAGGGAAGGGGCAGACACAGAGATGTGTCCAAAAGCCAATCAGTGTTGGCAGTGAGCACCTGTTTCCCAAGATATACGGAAGAAATTCTTCCCTGTGAGGGTGGTGAGGCCCTAGAACAGGTAGCCCAGAGAAGCTGTGGCTGCCCCATCCCTGGAAGTGTTCAAGGCCAGTTTGGACAGGGATCTAAGCAACCTGGTCTAGTGAAGGCGCCCCTGCCCATGGCAGGGGGTGGAATGAAATGATCTTTAAGGTCCCTTCCAACCCAAACCATCCTGTGACTCTGTGATCCCACGGGAAGTGACCCCTGTTAGGGACAGCGCACAGCCAAGCCCCCATCTCAACAACAGCTCTCTGCAAGGAGGGAGCCCCACGCCCTGTGAGCGTGGGGGGGTTGGCAGGCTCAGTGCACGTGGAGAGCTTGCGTGGGGATCCTGTGTGTGCAGAACTCAGCTGGAGCACCATCGTCATTGTAAGAGCTCTGTTCTTCTCACTGAACAAATTGTTCCGACAAATAAAGAATGAAAAGTCCTGCTCTTCCCACTCTTCTTTTTTTTTACCCTGTTCATCAGTTGGTGCCAGAGGAGGGGACTGTACCTCAGTGGTGGGAACAGAAAGATGCCAGGGCAGCTCAGGAGGTGCTGGGGCTGACAAGGAGGAGAGGTTGGGTGCAGTCAGGATAGCCAGGGGAATCCAAAACAAAAAATGCACCAGAGCAGGTGGCAGGGCTTTTCCTTTAAGCTTCCTGGTGCTGTTGGGTGATGGGTTGCAATATCTCCAGGTGCTGTGGGAATGGGCTGTGGGACCAGCCTAGGGAGGAGCTGAGCAACAGCAAGGCAGTGGGTGTGGGGCTGCAGGTGCTGTGGGGCTGAGCAGGAGGAGGTCTGGTCGAAGAAACCAAGGAGAAGGAAAAAAGACAGATGAAAGAGAGTGCTGAGTCTCCCAAAGGTTTCACAGAATGACAACAGAGGAATCTGAAGTCTCCTACATGGCAGTGTGTCATCCCATGGGCTGGTTCCTTATGCACAATTCAGATCAGTGATGGAGCAGAAAGCTCCTTAACTCCTCCTCTCAATCCCCAGCTGTTCTCCCCAGTGACCCAGGGCAGGGTGGCAGTGACAGTGTTACAGCTTTTCAGAAGCATTTGTCAGGGGAAATTTTGGTCCCCAAACAACGAAAGAATCAAAACCAACACATTTCCAACTGAATTCATGATGAGACAATTAATCATCCCAATTTAAAACAGTGGAGATCCTGGAGTGCCCTAATACATAAAGATGCTTCAGGCAGTGGTTGTGCTAAGTGTTTGCAGCCCATTCTCTGGCTGCCAGCAGGCACGGGGCTTCAGGCAGCAGCACTCTCTGGGTCCACAGTGTTCCAGTGGGACCTGTATGCAGCACTGCCAGGGTAATTTGAGATTTTGATGTGCCTTCTATCACAGAACAGCATAACTGTGCACAGATCCCTGTGGTGCCATACCTCTGCTTTTTAGTGTGACTGGGAGCAACAAAAACTCAGCAGCTCTCCAAGAACATTTCCAAAGTCACATTTGACTTAGACACTTCTGTGCCAGCCACGAGTACCCGTCCATCCACACTAGAGAGGCTTATCTAACTAACAGGATGGATCTTCTCCATCTCCCAGGCTTTGTATCTGGATTTACAGAGCTCTGGGGTCAGCCCTGGGTTTTGGGACTGGATAAACCATGAGCCTTATTTGCCAAGAGCACACACCACCCCAGTGCCTCCAGACATCCCAGGATGTGTCCAAATATCTTTCCAAAGTTCCTAAAGCTTTAAAGCAATCCAGAGAAAAGAGCTGTGAGAATATTATTGCAGCACATAACTGCAATAAACCTTTTCTTCGTCCTTTCATGGTTAGAGGTATGAACATGAATTATGACAAACTTAAACCTCTTGAGAGCAGCGTGTAAAATTGCTTTCTCAAATGTCTGGTAAAGAGCATTGTTAACCCAAGATGTCAGTACTCACGAATGCTTCTGCCTGAATGAGGCTATTTTACAAGTCAGTTTAATCCTTCCAGGAATTAAACAACCCCTTTCCACCCTCACCAAGCAGCAGATTCACTCTTTGCCCTTGTTTTCTGACCCGTTTGTTCATTTGAGGCTCTGGCACCATCACCCCTTGCAGCAGAAGAGACACATCATAACTCCCAAATGTAAAGAGGCTACTAAAACCCCCACATTTGGCCAGATTTTAGGCTACCTGGCACATAGCAGAGGCTGCAGAGAAGTCAGGGTCTTCTCATGTGCAGCCAGCAGTGACTGCTGCAGCTTTTAGGGTCATTTTGTCAGCTGTCATGCAAGCAAGGTTGCCAGTCCCCAGCAAGTAGGACATCTTCCTGTGGTCCCTGCTGCTTCTGGGCATAGATTTTCCTGAAGGATGGAGGATGATAGAGGGGACTGTGCCCTCAAGACCCAATCCAAGAGCAACAGTTTCCCCAGCCACAGCCACATCCCCTCATTTAATGATCCTCCCTCTCTCAGTATCCTTTTAAGAACCGCACAGCTGGGCATAAGCAGCAGGTACTTTCCCTGCTTTCCTTGTATGCCTTCTGGTGGATGTGTCCCTTTCCCTGGCCTGACACCACCCCAAAGAGTCCTGCTGCTACCATAGCACTTATATTATTCCTGATCCTCTTCCCCCAGCCCAAGCTGGCACCTTCCTGGGACACAGGCTGATTTCTGGGTCTCACACACACATTTACTTTCAATCCTATAGGCACAAATCTCAATAAATGTTGGATTAAAAAAATTCCAAGATGGTAATTTACCATCATTTTGATTACTATGGTAGAATTTTTAATTCCCAGGTGCTCCATTTTGTTCTCAGTGGAAATTGGTAGAAGGGGTCACCCTTGGATTGCAGAATCCTGATGCTGAAGGGATGGTTTTGCCTCATCAATCAAGGAAGTGATGAGGGCTGGGTTATTTGCCTGCCTTTTTTTTGTACATGTCAGTGAAATTCATAATGAAATGTGGATCTGCCCAGATCAGACCGTCATCTGAAAGGATGAAAGGAAAAAGAGGAAGAAGTGGTGTTAAAAAAATTGAAATTACGGTTATTAAAGCACAAAAAAATAACATAAAAATATATACAAATGCCAGGCTGTTTTATCCATGCTGCTTCTCTAAAGCTTGTTGTGACTGGAAACTGGAAAAGAAGAGAAATAACTAATGCTGTTGTTAACCATTAACTATTTTGCTGCAAGTCTTTACCGCAGCCTGCATGGGGAGCCCACATTTTTAAGAGCTAATCTTCCCTGAAAGCCCATCCAGGCCAATGGAAAGGCTATCTGGGTGTCCAGGGATGCAGATGACTATTAGCTGTGTTTGCAATGGCAATAGCAACCAGGCAACCAAAGCAGGGAGCTCCACGGCTCCAGGTGTCACACCAGCCGTGTGGGAAAGGGTCTAGTCCTGCAAAGCTCAGGATCTAAACAGGTGAGAGGGGTTAAACAGGAGAATAAAGACAGGTAGGGGAGATATCTCAGGGGCAGCAAACAGGATCCAAGTGAACTCCCTGGTTAAGCTGAGGTTGGCAAAACATCAGGAAATGATGATCAAAGGAAATGATAACTTATCGGGAACTGTGGTGATAGACAAGGAGTAATGGGCTCAAACTGGAAGAGGGGAAATATAAGTCAAGCATTAGGAAAAAATTCTTTTCTGTGAGGGTGGTGAGGCCCTGGCACAGGTTGTCCAGAGAAGCTGTGGCTGCCCCATCCCTGGAAGTGTCCAAGGCCAGGTTGGATGGGGCTTGGATCAACCTGGGATAGTGGAAGGTGTCCCTGCCCCTGGGAGGGGTTGGAACAAGGTGATCTTTAAGGTCCCTTCCAACTCAATCCATTCCATGATTCTGTGACTATCCTATGGTAGGATACACTACTTCTCTAGATGGGCTATTGTCCTGCAATGTTACAAAATTGCTGTGGAGTAGCTCAGCTGGAGACATCTGCATTCAGCCAGGCAAATCCCGGCCACTCGCTCTACTCTCTGCAGCCTTTTCCATGGCCCTGCCTTGGTACAGACACAGGGACCTGGCTCTCTGGCAGGGTGTGTTTTGCCCCTGCTGCCCCTGCTGCCCCTGCTGCCAGCCTTCCCAGTGCCCTGCACTGGGGAGCAGCACATTCCTGTTTCCATCCCTGCACATACCTGATAGCTGCACAAGCCCCGCAGGAGCATCAGATGCTGCTTCTTGAAAGAAACCTGTGCAAAAACTGTAGCACCAGAAAAAAATTGCACAACAAGCACCAAACATGCAAAGGCAGATTTTGGGAAAGGTTCTGTGTTTGTTTAAAGGCAACAATTTTCATCTTTGAAAAATAATTTCAGATGTTTCTTTCTAGAAAACAAATAAGTCACATCTTCATCACCACGTTGTTCCCCTTTCTAATGCTGAGTGGAGTGCACTGACCCAGGGACTGTTCCACTTCCTTCTGCACTCCTTCAGCTGGAGAAGGTTTGTGATTTTTATGTTTTTTAAACAACAAAGGAGGGGGATGGGAAAATATGCAAACACCCTGAACAAGTGCATTCGGGGACAAAGCAAACAAGGAGGAAATTAAATTTTTCAGTTTTCTTTTATCGTCAAAACCAAAGTAAAATGAATGTGTCAATCCAAAATGAAGTTTGCCATGTTTCAGAGACCCCCACAATGAAAGTGCAATCAGAAAGAATAATTTTTTTGAGGAAAATATGGTTTTGATTGATGGAATCTGACTTCTTGATGCCCAAACTGTGGCTAAGCAGAGTTGAATGGCGCTTCCAGCTCTCCATCCTGTGGCTGTAGCTGAGTACTTCCTGCTGATCCTTGTACAAACTCAGGATGGTTTTGGTAAACAGCCTGAGAACCCAACTTGACAATCGAGCCCTTGTGCCTCACAGACATCCCACGCCCCTTGGGAAGGTGGGCACAGCATGAATTTTGTCAGGACAGATGGAAGAGGGGGAGCCTCTGCTTGATCCCCCATCCTGCCACCTGTACCCCAGCCTCAGATGCATTCCAGGTGCTCCTGGCAGTGAGTCACAGGATAATGGCACGAGAAATTACGTGACATTTGCCAGCGACTCAGTGGGCTCCGAGCAGCCGAGCTGTGACGGCTCCAGGATGGCACCTGTTGCTGTTGAGGCTGCACTCGGTGAGGGCTTGGTGCTATTTTTGGAGTGTGCTTGAGGGCAGGAAGGATTAGCATGCCCCAAATGCAGCAGAGAGGGCTCTGATTTGCTCAGCAACAAGCTCTGCCCCAGCTGGAGAAAGGAAGGGCTAACCTGGACTCCTTGGGTGTGAATGGAACAGGTCCAGAGCAAGACACTCAGAACTCACCACTGACAGCAATGGGGACAACGAGGGGAAGTTTGCAGCAATCTTGGTTTGCAGCTGGAAGGTGCTGGCCAGAAGCCAAAGCTTCTCTACCCACATGATGCTGAGCAAAGCATTCTGTGTCTACGCTGGGTGGGATACAAGAGAGAAAACAGCCCTTAGAAAGGGGCTTAGAGGAGGGAAGCAGGAG